CTTCCCATCCACCCTACCCACCACCACCCCCCGCTATCCAGCCTTTCCTCCTCTCCAAAAGAATTCCGCTTTCATGCGGTTCACTCCCCAATTGCTGGCAGTGCAGGCGCCTGTACTCCCGCATGGCTTGCAACAGTGATATGCTGCCTTGTTTGGTGTCCGATTGGAGCGTTCTCGGGTGCTCCCTCTGCAGCGCTAGTCGCATTTCAGGGTGAGTGCGTTGATCACGTCGTTAGGAATGCGCCCTGCCCAAGGCGGCCCACGCTTGTGGGCCCGACACGTCCCTCGTCGTTGCCACCTCGCACCCCCCCCCCCCTTTTCCCCATCCCATCCACCTCCCCCTGTTTCCGCCTGCTTCTCCTAACTTCTACTCCGCTTGCTCCTGCACCTGCTGTTCCTCCTCCTCCTCCTCCTCCTCCTCCTCCTCCTCCTCCTCCTCCTCCTCCTGCTCCTCCTCCTCCTCCTCCTCCTCCTCCTCCTCCTCCTCCTCCTCCCCTCCTCCTCCTCCTCCTCCTCCTCCTCCTCCTCATCCTCCTCCTCCCCCTCCTCCTCCTCCTCCTCCTCCTCCTACTCCTCCTCCTCTCGCCTTCCCATCTCCTCTCCGCTCATCTCCTCTCTCTCTCTCTCTCTCTGACCCTCCCCCTCCCCCCATCCCCATTGCCCCCCTCCTGCCCAGACCTATACCCCTCCCATTATCTCCATTCCCCCCTCCCCCAAGAGTACGAGAACGGCGCTCATGCACGGCACCATGTCTGGACTCCCTTCAGGCCCCGCCCCAACGCGGTACGGTGCATAGTTCTTGCTGGCCTTGAGGGTTTGAGGTACCGTGCCCTTCCTGGGCCGAGGATCAACGACGCCTCTGGAGACGCCAACGCGGCACGTTGCACGCAGGTCGTCCGCGGACAAAGGCCCCCCTTCTGTCAACCGTCCCCGCTCCCCCTCCACCCCGCCGCTTCCCCGACGCGGCGGCGGGCAGGACGCGCTGCTGCCAGCAGCTCGGCCTCCGCTTCGGCGCCGCCAGGCGCCGCGCGGGCAGCGGACGGCCACGCCCCGTGCATGCGTCGGTGCCGTGTGCTCCTGCCCCCCCAAGATGATCCGAGATGCTCTTCGAGTGTACACGCCAGGAAGACGCGCACACGCCCGAGCGATGCTAAGTCAGGCAGCGGAGGAAGCGGGCGGCGCTCGCCCTGGAGGCGCGAGGCCCGTGGTCCACCGGGGCCCTCCCACAAACCACCCGCGGCGTCCACGGAGGCCTCCTGGCTGGGGCCGAGCAGGTGGGGTCGGAAGATCGCGCAGCATCGCCACTGCATCGGCGATGCATCGGCGTCGTCGGAGTGGGGACAATCGAGCTCCACATCGAACCGCATCTCCGATGCATCGGCGATGCGGCGCGACCCTCCGACCCCGTCTACACCCCTGCTCAGAGTTACGAAATTCGAGGCTGAGAAAATGGACTTCGTTCGAAGCGTTTTCTCAACCAGTCGTCCAGGCTCACAGATGCGATCATTCTACGAAGAAAAGAAGCTCCAAGAGAACGCCCAGGGTCCAGTCCAGATTCTTGATTTTCTTGAACGACATCTGGAGTCAACGAAGGCTGCGACTTTCCCGTAAGAGCTCTGACGGCTGCACTCCGGCCCCATCCGGGAGGCCCAGACACCAGCTGCAGGGCCTGGCGCCGCCAGGGATCGAGCTCCTGCGCCAGCAATCCGAAGCGACGGGCGGAAGGCGAGAGGCTAGCAGCCGCCGTTGGCCCACGGTCCCCGGCGCTCACGCGGGAAGAGGATCCAGAAGCCATGCTGCGCGCCCCGCCGATCGACTTGTGGCGGGAGCTGTGGGGAGGGGGCGGCCCCCGATCTGCACTCACGGGGGGTCTTAACGGGCGTGGCCGCTCGTCCGCGCCAGGCTCGCCACGGCCGGCGGGCTACCCTGGCGCGGAAGCAGGGTCCGCGGCCCGATCGTCGGATGAGAGTCGCAGACCGCCACGCTGTTGGCACGCTCCGAGCATGGGAGGGAGTGGGAGCAGTCTGCTCGCCTTGAAGATGGAATGAATTAAACCGAGTGGCACTTGGTAGGGTCGGACTCGAAGGTGCTCGGGTCGGCCATCGACCGCCAGGCGCTGCTCAACGACGTGAAGGAGGACATACGACACCAGCAGTGTCGCCAAGCGGCTAGTCATCACCGTGGCCGCGACCCTGCCGCTCGTGCGGTAACCTACCACGCCACGAGGGAGATGCAGCGGCTAGCCGGGAAGAACACGTGGGCGGACCGAAGCGTCACGATGGCGAGTGCGAGTGGCTTGTGGATGTCAGTGGTGTCGCGCCCAACGCCGCCAGCAAGGCTACCTAATGGACCACGTCTGCCTTCAGCGCTCCCAGGAACCAGAAGACCTGCAGCACGGGATCTAGAAGTGCCCCGCCAACATGCACGACCACCCGTGAATTCGCTGAGACGGCGCATCTCACCTCGCAGGCGTTGGCTGCAGCGGACATTTCAACCTGGCCTCTGGCTGAGAGGCGTCCTCCTTTCGCAGCGCCTGACCACGGCCCGCTTCGATGACGAGGCTGTGGGAGCGACAAACTTTCATTTTTGAGATGGTTCGCTCAATGACTCTCGGGAGGGGGGGGTACGATGTTCGGGGACGGGTTGGCCCGGAAAGCACTCGAACGACCCGAGGCGAGGGCGTTGCGGCGCAGCTATGGCCATCTTACCATGGAGAAGGGAGCGAGTATCGATGATTGCCCAGCTTCTCCCTGGTCATAAACGGTCGGTGCCCCCATGCCCAGCCCGGACCCTGGCGTTACATTGGAGAACACCAGTGGGAACATCCATTTTGCGACGGGCTATGAGGCCTTGGTTAAATCCTGGAACCGCCGCACTTGAAGAGGCCCAGGGGCACACAATAAAACAGACACAAATCAAAGGATTTCCTATAGCTCCCATGCTTTCTGGATGCTCGTCTTCCCCTCCTCTTCCCATAGTTTCCATATTTTCCTGGAAATCGACGACGATTTGTGTCTGTGTGCTTTTCCCCCCCCCTGAGCACTGGGAAGACCACGACCGCTTCCCACGAGGACCTCTGGCACGGGACCAGAACTGCCCTGACTCCGAGAGATCCCTCAGGCGTCCAAGAGGCCCCCAAGAATCCCTGCGATACATTGTAAGTCCGCGGGCTCCAGGTGGTGCAAGACGGTCAGGCGCCGGTCAGAGCGAGTGGTGGGATGCAACGGAGGCGAATCGAGGCACGAAAACGCAGGAAAAGAGAACGCGAGAAGAGAAAGAAGGGGCCCGATCAGACCGTGAAGGCCCGCGCGGGAGTGCTGAGGGAGAGCATGCGGGCTGCGCCCGAGCAGCAGGGCCGCCAACTTGAGGTGGAAGACCTTGAAGGAACCCTGCAACACATGCGGAGGACGAGGAGGACGAATGAGCAACGCCTACCCGGCAGAGCGACGGGGAGCGTCAAACAGCACGTGCGAAATCGAAGCCGCACATCTCTCCTCTTCTGGGGGTCGGCGGAGTGGCGCAAGCCTCTTCAAGCTAAGTTGCCCAGGGCTGGTGGTGCTTGAGCGGTCTTGCTTGAATGAGCTGCCTCGCACGCCAAAGGGTGCCTGGCCTGCTGCAGTGGCCGAGGACCCGCCGGGAGAGTCTGCGAGGGCGCCCAACTTCGCGCTTCGCGCTGCGCGAAGCGCGAAAGCGCGAATAACTTCGCGCTCTCGCGCCGCCCCCCACGGGGGAAACGGAGGATGCGGAGGAATCGGCGCCGAACCGCGAAGCGCGAAGCGCGAATAGCTTCGCGCCCTCGAGGGCGCCCTTGATCTGAGGGCGTCGGGGCCCCAGGGCGTGGCCGCTCGTAACCTCGACAGCAGCCGCTCGCCATCGCTCGGACGTTCATTGCCCGTGCATTTGTCGATTTCCTGCGCTTGTTGCTTCGTACGATGATCCAATGTGCTCCTCGATGATCCTCGCCGAGAACAAATGCCCACGTTTGAGCGATACCAAGACCGAAAGGGGGCTCGAGACGGGTAGACCCTGGCCTCAAGCTGGCCTCGCGCCCAGGTCTGCCGCGGGGTTCGGCGGTGAATTGCTGCTGGTGCGGAGGCGGGCTGTGTCAGCGCTGGTCACCAGCTCTCGCTGAAATCGGCGACGAGAGAGGGGGGGGAAGCGAGCAGCAGAAGGCCTTCTCAGAAAGCGGCAGGGCCTCCCAGAGGCGCTCTGGCCTTCTGAGACGTTTCCTGGGTCTTCAGGAAGGTTTTAGAAAACTGCTCCGAGGGGTGGAAGACCTCCGAGCCTTCCGAGAAGGCCCTCCCCTTCTCACTTGCCCCTCCAGGCTCGCCGCCGACTGGAGTGGCCATGCCCCCCTGCCACCTGGTTGGCCGAGCCTGGAGCACGCTCGTGAGAATCATCCTCCTCCTCCCGAAGCTACTCCTCCTGCTCCTCCACATCCTCACCCTCCCGCTTCTGCTCCTGCTGTTCCACCTCTCTCTTCGCCCCCTCATCTTCATCCTCATCCCCAAAAAAAACCTGCTCCCTCCTCGTAGCACTTTCACTGTTCTTGCTCTCGTCCTCCTCCTTCCTGCTCCCCCTGCTATCCATTATCCTCGGAAGTCTCCGAAAGTCCCCTGAGAGGCCTCTGGACACGGGAAGCCTGCGGATGCAGAGGTCCAAAGGAAGCCGAAAATATCCGAGAACCTAGATCATCGATCCTCTAACCTCGATCCTCCCCCCTTTTGAGCCCCCCGTCGTGAGGGCGACGGGTCCTGGACACATGGGCTTCCTCCAAGACCATCTCCTCCTCCAGAGTCGCTCTCTGACGACTCTGGGGGCCTGGAACAGGACCCCAGGAGGCCGAGGACGACGAGAGGGCGTCACGGCCCGCCCTTGCCCTCGGGACCCTGCTTCTCCAGGGTGGCCCTCCCCGCCCCCCCCCCCGCCCTCCCCCGTCGTCGTCGTCGTCGTCGTCGCCGCCGTCGCCGTCGCCGTCGCCGTCGTCGTCGTCGCCCCTCCGCTGGCGGAGCCACCAGCTCGTTGCCGGAGAGGTCGGCGCTCGTCAGCGGCAGCGACGGCGCGCCGCGCACCCAGCCCCAGGACTCCGGGGTGCCCGAGGCCTGGGGCTCTCTCTCTCTCTCTCTCTCTCTCTGGGACGAGAATGATGCCATGGTTGTCATGCCCGACCCCCTCGCGTCGAGTAAAAATCGGCTTCAAGGGGCCCTTTCTGGGCCTCGGGGCCGTCAAAAAGGAAGTCAGGATGACAGACCAGTGCTGGAGAAAGGGCCCAAACCCCTGGGGGTCTCTCTAGGACGGGCATGACGTCATGATAAGATTGGCTCAGGATACGTTCCGGAATTTCCAGAGTATCTAGCAGCCCTCGTTTCTGGAGCCCGCGTGGAATATCAGGAGATCCAGAAATCCTGGAAGTCCTGGAAACCTTGGAACGTATCATGTTCATTACCTCTTGCTCCTCTTAACTCTCCCCCAGTTGAGACAAAGAGCCGCGCCCCCGACCCTCCTCGTTAAGATCAGAAGTGCTAGGATGTGGGAACATGAAGTTGGAATCAGAATCAAGCGAGAGTACTTTTCGAAAACGATCCGCAATCTATCTGTGCAGGTTGTGCCATTCAAACGTTTCGCGTAAATGTACTGAGCGAGAGCCCCATGCTTGCGGGAGCCGCCTTCAACCAATGTGGCCATCTCACGGTTGCTTCAGCCTCGGACCGTCGAGCCAAAGAACATCTCACGAGAGAGCCCCGTTTTGAAAAGGGACCACCCTCCAGGAGTGCGCAGCGCTGCGCAGAAAGCCACAAAGTGCAAACGATCCGCCCTCCATCCGTCCACGTACATCATGGAAGCAGGTACCGTCGGGCCGCGGAAAGAAGTGACGCCAAACAAGGAACGAAGCCCCTTCTTGGCCAGGTAAGCGCCTCCGTACCCCAGGAGGGCAGGAGGAACCGCACTGGAGGAACCTAAGGAACATCGACCCCTTCCGAACCCAGACTGTTCCTCATCTCAGCGCCTCGACCGTACACCCTGCGAAATGCTTAAGAAATCATGGGTTAAGAAATTCATGGTCTCAGAACTTGAATAAAAACCCAACATGTCCATCAAAATCTTAGGATTCACACTGAAACGTTAAGAATAATCGAGACTCTGGCCGAAAACTTAGGTTTTCCTAAGCATCGCCTGAGGTGTAGGCACGAATGAGCGTGGCGCCTCAGAACGGGAGCCGCATTTGGCAGGCGGCCCCCGCCCTCCGCCCGTGGAGAGCCTCTGTGAGCTGGAGAGGGGGCGCACGTGCGCGGCGCGAGGGGCGAGAGAGCCGCCGCCGGAGAGGCCACCCGGCCTCCGGCCTCTGCCTGCGCACCCCAGAAGACATTCCAAGACCTCCCCTCTCCTCCCTCCATCTTCTTCCCCCCCCCCTCCCTCCCTCCCCCCCTCCCTCCCCCATCCCTCACGAATGCACGGTCGGCGGGAACATGCGCCTGAGCCAACCCGCGTCCACGCCTGCGCCAGTGCCTACCTCCCTCCGTTCATCCTCCTCCCTCTTCCCTCGTCATCATGCCCCCCTGCTCCCTGGGTCAGAGACGGGAGACATGAACAGGCGGGGGGCCACGGCACATCGCGAAGCACTTCTCGACATCAGGATCGAGCCTCCCTCTCCTCCTACTCCTCCACCTCCTCCGCATCCTCCTCCTCCTCCGCCTCCTCCGCCTCCTCCACCTCCTCCTCTTCCTCTTCTACATGTTCCTCTTCCTCAGGAGCACAGCCACAAGGGCTGCCCAAGCCGAGTCGCCACGCGGAGAGGGTTGAGGGAGGCACGTCGGGGACAAAAAGCACGGCGCCGTGAAAAAACACGACCAGAGCTCTCGGCGACGTCTCCCGAGGCATTTTTCTGCCCAGATCGATCCGTGAGGGCTCCGGTGTCCCGAAGCGTGGCGAAAACGCTGGTCGTGGTGCGTTCGAAACGCCCAGACGTCGGGGCAGGGGGCGGGAGGCGGACGAACGCGGTGCGAGGTCGTGGGGTTCTTCTGCAAGTGTCCGCAGGCTTTCCCGCCTCGGGATGCTCTCCACTGGCTGCGTGTCGCCAAGAGCGTTCCTGGGGTGCCCAGGTCGTCCCGAGCGGCCGCTAGAGGCCAGAGCGATGACCCGAAGGTAACTACCCCTCGACGACCGGCCAGCCACAGAGGGGGGGGGGCTGGGCTCCTTTACCCCCATGGGGGAACCCCTCGTGACGACGACTTCTCGAGCGGTGAAACAACAGCATCGTTAGGGGCTTAACGACTTCTGCCGTCCCTCGACTCGCGCTGGCCACGAGCTGCTCCAAATTTCCATGGACATCCCTGGATTCACCTGGATTTGCCCAAAATTTACCTGGATGTACCTCGATTGACCTGCATTGACCTCGATTTATCTGGCTCGATCCCCACAAGTCGATCGGCGGAAAGTTGTCGAGCCCTTAGGGACAACACGCAGTGAAACCTGCAGGGAGGAGGAGTGGAGAGCTGCTGGGCGATAAAGGCGCTGTAGGTATGGGAGCGGGTTGCCAGACCCCGAGGGGGACTCCCCTTCGAGCGGAAGCCCCCGCCGACAACGCACGCCCACAGCCCCCCCGGGAACCCACCCCGAGAAATCTGGAGCATCGCAAGGGTATGTTAGGAGGCAACTACTGGGAGGTTTTCGTCGGAAAGACTAAGGAGGATTGAGCCCCATTTGGGAGCTGTTACGCCGGAGCGGGCCTCGGATGAAGCGGGATCAGGCCAGATTAAGCAGGATTAAGCGGGATTGAGCGGGAGTAAGCCGGATTTCGGACCAGGGCAGAATCAGAGTTTGACCTCCCAGGAGTTGCATCCGAGGGTATGGGAGCCTGCTGCCCGCTCATGACCGAGGCGGGCGTCAGAGCCGACGGGCTCCCGAGGGAGGCAAGGGGCAAGGAGCACGGCTCCCCCCGCTGCGGCTGGCCTGGATGGAGGGGCCCAGGGAGGCACAAATACATAGGCACGAGTTCCAGGATGTCCCATATGCTTTCCATACATTCGGGGCTTATGTGTTGCCCACGACCTCCGACATATTCGAATATCCTCCTGGAAATCGAATACTACGTGTATGTGTCTACTTTCCCTCCTGGCTGGGAGGGAGGCGCGGGAGTCACCACGGCCCCCGTGGCGCCGTGAGACCTTCTCAGGGGCTCCTGAGAGGGCCACTGAAAGTCCTGGCGGCGAGCGAGGGGGGAAGTGAGAAGAAGCAGGCCTTCTCAGGAGGCGGCGGGACTTCTCAGAAGCCCTCGCTTCTTCCCCCCCTG